GGAGAATCACTTTAGCGTAAGGTTATTCAAATTCACTAAATGGTTATCGAGGAAAAAATGAAAAATTAGCTGAAAATCTCGTTTTTACTTGATAATATAATGATAATATTTATAATTGTCTGAAATAAATGCAATTTTAAAATTTTAATTATTATTTAAACATATTAAAAAGTTTTACGCTCATAACTAATAGACATTGAAACTAAATATTTTTTTGTTTCGAAGTTGAAATCAAGGCATATTCACTGCCAAAAGTCAGTTAAAAATTTTCCATATTATTCGTTATTTCTTGTTTTATTCAAAGTTTTTGGTCAAATTCCAAATTTACTCTCAAACCATATACTTTTTTTTTAGTATAGATAGTAATTATTTACGTCATGATATGTTGCAAAACCTAATTAATAACGAATTTTTAATTTCATGTACTCTTGTCTCCGATTGTACCTCCCAACATCCTTGTCCATCCATCCAAGTGTAACTGATGTGTTTCGAACTTTGACAATGATATGCAACACAATTCTTCAATCGTTGGGGGTTTATGATCCCCTATGTAGGTACATTAGATACATATGCATTAGAGGTGGTACCACAAGCTTGAAACGAAGTATATTCCAACTCGAAACTCTACTTCTTCGTAAAATGCAATTTTCCGGCATTTTTCTTCTTAAAAGATCAGGCGCCGCCCAAGAAGTTTCATTTCAAAAAGATAACACAAATAATGTAATTTTTCTTAATTCAGTATCTTCATTTGTAACTCTTGAATGGCGTTTTTAAAAATCTTGCAATTATGCTGAGTCACATTGTCACGAAAGTGACATGTATACCTGTGTGCATCACATCTGTCAGAACATTTAGCGGTGAATGTGTTTGTCGCGCAATAACAATTAATAATTTATTCACGCCTTCCTTATTTGGTTACGAGCTGGACGCTTTCTATTCATCTGGTAGGTGTTTTAATTACGTCTGGTACCATTGTTTGACAACATATAGTCTTCGTCTCTGTGGAATGAATACGGTGAAATTTAGTTATGAACAATGCCTACGATTTGTTTCCGTGATTATGTAATATTGATAAGGCTAATATAATCCTTTCATTCGGATGAATTCATCAATAACAGCTTCAGGTTTCCTTTTTTGCTAAATTATTAAGGATAGTTTGGAAGAGCCTTAATTACCTACGTGAGGTGTTTTTCTTTTAATTTGGACCTTTCCCTCTTCCTTGATAGTATTTGGTAAGATGTGGTGTGTAACCCCCATCTCCTTGCGTGAGATATTACCCCATTTACTGAATGAATTTTTTTGGCGAGACTTTCAATAACCCTCGCACTCATCAAATAAGATTTTGCTGGATCCCATCTCTTTACAAGATTGAGCATTTGACAGATTAATGTTAAATAAATTTTATGGTTTACTTAATTTGTCTACATATATGTATCATATACGAATATTCATCAAAAACAATTCATTTTGGTAATCTCAGGATTTTCGGATGATGTCAACGATTTCAGCTTGACACGGTATGGGACCAATGCCGATGGAATCGTTCATCTGACATTTCGTCAACTGCTACGGTTGGCATCCTCGAGGAACGTAGCAAGGGTGTTGTGCTGAGACTAACTTTGCTCCTATCCCTGAGGATGTCAACTACAGCTGTTGGCCAAATGACTCATCAGTTTTTCCACCGGAGAAAAATCAATCCTATAGCAAGCGCGAATATCGAGCACTATTCAAATGTTTGGATGTTGTCAGCCTTATTTTATTTCATCATTTGCTTCATAGTGTTATGGTTTTATATGCTGTTATGATCAGCCCTGTTTCGAATTTTGTAACCAATTACTTGACATTGAGCACATACTTCTTTGCTTCCATGTTAGGCAATAACATTGGTATAATTTCTAAAACTAATAGGTATATAATTTTCATCTTGCAATTTCCATCATTCTTGCTGTAGGTAGAAAGCGGTTTTTAACTGGGTCAATTATTCTCTCTCTATTCTTTGATTATAATTAGTTGATTAAAAGTGGATTAACTTATTTACACGGTAAGAGGAACTGATAAATATAGGTTTTGTGTATCATCGAGTCTGAAACCTAATCTCTATCGATCGGAATCGTATGTGCTTACGTGATGCATCATACTGTACGGGATCTGTTGAAAAGGTGTAAAATAAGTACCAGGCATTACTCTATAATTAGTGCGTTCGTGAGTGGGACGGCAACAAATTTCTATGCTGCGATGCTAAAAGATTCCTGATGTGGGGTTACGGTGTTGTTAATTAAAGAGCAATTAAAATATAATTCCGCCAATACTTGTGACGGTACATAGGAATACACCTACTGGATATATGTTCGTACATATCTGTATTTGTGTAAGAAGAAAGTCGGCGAACTTTAATAACTAGTATTTGTTAAAATAACACTGACGTCAGTTGTTAATAGACGAGGCTTCCGAAGGACGATCTACACAACACGGACAATTGCAGTCATAATTTATAAACATACTTAAAATGTCACTGGAAGGATTCACAATTGCAGCCATTTATGTTACGTGATATGTTACGAGAACAAGATAGAAGACGCTTTTTGTTTATTTCTTTCTTTATTTGTCTTGTATCCGATTGCAATTAAGATTTTTATTCTACAAGTTTTCAAAGTTTTCCATATTTTATAAATCATACAATGAGTAGGTAATATGGTAACCTATCGAGTCAGAAATTTGATAGTTGGATAGTGTTCTTAGCATTAGGTTAGGTTATGTGCTGCAAAATTTAAAACTTTTGTTACTAACGAAAAACAGCGTGGTTTTAAGGAAAATAATTACATTATAATCTAAAATTTGATGCAAGGATGCTACCATCGTACTTGAAAACACGACAACATTTAATGTCATCAGCATTAAATAATAAAAGACGTAAGTCAGGATTGTATTTAACCAGATGATTTTTTGGTAGAAAAAGTTAACGCTTTTATGGAAAAGCGCATGTATCAGTACGATAGTCGTCTCCGGCATCGTTGTAAAGTGTGTTAGATGTTATTGCGTGATGAGGAAACGAATTGATCAATCAGATCTTCTATATA